ATATCCGCAACCCTGAATGAACGTCTTACCTAAAATACATTGATGGATAGACATTTTAACAATAGAGTAACTTGTTCAGGTTATTAATCCAAACTAATATTATAAATGCGAAAGTAACTCTGTCTGTCGGTCTGTCTTTTCTTCACGCATAAACTACTGAACTCATTTCTGTAAAATTTGGTACAGACATAGTTTGGAACTCGAGAAATAGTTTTTTTTACTAAACATCTGCAGGAAGTCGCAAAAATTATAAAAAATATACTTAGCTTTTATCGTCGTGGCTATTTTAAAATAAAATAATTAATTCGAATTAATATGTATACATTAAAAAAAAAGATACTTTAGACGGATGAAAGTGGAACAAACCGAACATTTCCCAACTTGCTCGATAAAACCTATAAAAAGTCTCAAGCACTCATTTAAAACAATAAACATTTTAATAAACCATAACTTAATAATATATGTTCTTTAAGACTCAGTTCGGCAAATGACGTAACTGTATCACACAACTTTTTTTCCAACACCTTTCAGGTCTGTTATCCACCTACGATCCTTCTTCAAGCATTCGATAAAAACAATACGAAAAATAGAACAGTAGTTTTTGAGCTTAGTTCTAACATACAGATTGATGAAACATGGTTTTTGTATGTTCGCAATATTACTAATAAATTTGGTAAAACAGAGTCATTTCATACGAGTTCGAAATAGTTTTTTATGGGCAGATTTTTCAATGGCTAGATAAAAGTTACCTGGGGAATAACTATTATGCTGTCGCGTCAGAATGTTTGTATAAAACAGTGACAGAAACAATTTTATTCCTCAGATAACATTTATCTGACTATTGAAAAATCAGTTCTAAGTGAAATAAAATATTTCGCTTTAAGCGTGTAGGCAGAGCGGGCCTCGTCCTCCATATAAAATGGCCGCGTCAATATATTAATTAACATATCCGCATTTTACTTTCGTTAATCTAGGCAGTGGAGGCTGAAAATATTGGCTAAGTAAGTTGCAAAACTCGTAATAAATTATTTCGCTTAAATGTTCGTTGATTTAAGTTAATACATGTTGGTAGGTAAAGTTTAGAGATGTCAGTTTTATACACATCATGTTAAGTATTGTTTGTTTTATTCCCTACAATGTAGGTAAAACAATTACACTCCATATAGATGGTTGGTAGTGAAGAACTGTGCGATTTTCACGACACGATCTGCCCAGCACAGTTATAATAACTTTGGAATGATTTTTCGCTGCTATATTTCCGAACCGATAAGACCTAAGAACCAAGAAACGCGCATAGGTACTCCTTCTTAAAAGGCTTCATAGATACGAGAATTACATTACATTTTTGCAATATTTACGACAAAATAACTCAAAAATTTGATTTAGTTTTTTTTATAAGTATATAAAAACGTTGCTCCACACTAGGATTTTCTCGGTGCGTTTACAAACATACAAATTCACATACACATCACACCCTAAGCCGGAACAACAATCTGTGGATCTAACAAAGAGTTGTTCCGTGTGGACATCGAAATCGCGACACGTTGCGTGGTAGCCAGTTGCCCAGCCACCGCGCTAACCGTACATCCGTACAATTAGTTAAATTTCCTTTGGCGATCTAAGCTATAATAATTAAGAAACATTAAGATATAATTCATCTCAATGGTATGTAGACAGGTAGCCATCATTCGCCGACACAATAATTATATAGGTACATATTATTTGAAACGATTTGGTTTATGTGTGACGCAAAAACAAGTGGACTAAGATCGATTGATGTAATTATTGTAATAAATTTAATTTATACAGTTAGCGTCTTAAAAGTTATAGGTTGGTTATGTCGCTGTCAGCTATTTAAGCTTTTGAAAATTAAACGTTTTAATTATAAAGAATGTTTGTTTATAAAAATATTTTTGAAAAGCACACGCAACCTATTATTTCCGAATAATTATTATTTTTGAAGATTTTTACATATAAAAAGAGAGTTAAGAAGATTTTTCGGCCACTGTATAGTGCGTAAAAGAAAAGTTTCGAAATCCACTGGAAAAAAAGAAATGAACATTCATCACAAGGCTTAGTCAAGGCGGATTGGCGATTTGGACTGACTTTACTTAACTTATGTATAACAAGAAATTTAGAGACCAGGTGTCCTCAACCTGGAGCAGGAGAAAGAATGGTGTGAGTTTTAGTCAGTAAGAGTCTGACACTCCCTCTCGCCTTACCCTCAACAGAAGTCATATTTGATGATTTTATCCAAAAAAAGGTTCCTTCACGATGTTTTTCTACAACGTAAGTCAGTGATTAATCGCCTATAACACCTAAATCGATATAAAAACTAGTTCTTAGACAAAATAAAATGAAATGTACAAACACGTAGCATTACTGCCTACCCCATTATACGTAATGGCCATGTTACAATGTGATAAAACACTTGGTAAATGGCGCTTAGCTCTGAGCCATGTAATTATTGATAATTTACATCTAATATGCACACTGGCCATCGGTTGATTTGCATAAAAACTGTTTGACAGGCAACTTTGATTTATTTGTCTATCGATGTCAGGTCTCTGATTGGGTATACTAAGATTGACGCGTGGTTTCGTCTCATTTTGCTCCTAGGTAAAGTCAATTAAGGGTTGAATTGTGTATTTTTTGTTCTGTTTATCTGTTGTTGGAGCAGGAGAAGGCAAATGTATGTTTTTTTTGTAAGGAGTCTGCCAATCAACATAGTTTTTATTTTTAGGTTAGTATTGGAAAACCTGAAGACGAAGTTATCGCGATCACTTTAACAATTCCTGTTTGTCTAATAGCTAAGACTGGATTACTTAAGCAATTGTTAAATTACCCTGAGTACGCATACATAAAATTTTGCTAAAATGCAGCATTGAAAATGAAATTGTTGCATCTCATAACTATATTTTAGTTGTAGAGAGCATAATTGTGAAAGAATCATGCTTCGGTACGTAATAGCTCTGATTGACCGAATTAATACCCCGGCCTAAAAGAAAATTGGCGTGAAATAACCACAGCGTTGTGTTTCGCCGTGTGACTGAGGTTACCCAAAACCCAATCTTTCTTCCCCTCCCCCAATCCCTAAATCTCCGAAACTCCAATCCCCGAAATGCCGGTAACACACTCGTAAGGCCTCTGGTTTTGCGGGATTAAATTGAAAATGCCGATTGCTTTCCATCATGTAACCCTTTACGCTCGTTTGCTATCCTATTACAAAAAAAAAACCGTCAAGAAACTGCCACTATGAGTTGAGGGTGTAAATTTCTTATGTAAACAAACGAATTGATACATAAATTAAAACAACTTAGTCTAAGTAAATTACTTAAAACAACATTATGACCACTATGGCGCCACTTAGCACATAAACTATAAACATAACATTATGCCAGGCCAGAGCCAGCGATCCTAATAAGATAAGGTCTATGCTAGAAACCTCATGACCTTTAAACGCCTTGAACAATTGCTCGATAGCTTATCGATTTAATAATAATGAGTTCTTGAGTGGATACCGCAATAACGAATAGTTTAGAATCATTCCGTAATAAGGCAGGTTGTGTTGACATATTATGTATTTTCAGTTAAAGTTACAGCCAAAGACTTTTGTCTCATTATGGTAATCAGCTAGGGTATTGAAGATAGCACCAAAAGCTGGCGACAGTGTAATTTCCCTTTTTTATATTCACCACAAATTACAGGAGAGGTCTGCTTCAGCACGAATAGACCAACAGAATGATACCACGATCTCATAGGAAATCGGCGTGAAATATCCACAGCGATGTGTTTCGCCGTGTGAGTGAGGTTACCGGAGGCCCAATCCTTCTCCTGCCCAACCCCCCCCCCCCCCCAGTCCCTAAATCTCCATTACCCTAATCCCTAAAAGTTCGGCAACGCAGTCGTAACTCCTCCGTTGTAAGAGTCCATGGGCGGCGCTGATTCCTTACCATCAGGTAATCCGTCAGCCCGTTTGCCGACCTATTACAAAAAAAAAAAGTTGCTGTCGCCACATAACCAATTATTAAAGTATAAATGCCCAAATAAAGCCACTGAATAAATATTTCTATTGATTAAGATCAGCTCCAATTATTTGCTTTTATTATCAACAAGTTTGTTATGTTTGCTTGACACGCGAAACGTTTGAAAATCTTAATTAGTACCGTCTACTACTTGAGGTTAATGAGTAGTTTTGGAATTATTATACGTAGTTTTCATATCAAACATACTTGAATCTGTTTTGAATTCTGACTAAAAAAATTACTAAGTGTAATGTCATCATTAAATTGGATTATTCTGATAAATTCACATTTTTGTCGTTTAAGTTATACTATCCAAAACCCCCATTCTCAAGAGAGTATCCCATCAGATAAAAGTATCCCATATGCGATAACAAGCACAAGTGTCCAAATATAATGCATAGCTTTGTCCATAAATGCCTTGACATATATTATTTTGAATAGCATCTAATTGAATTTAATACAGTTATTTATTACCATCACTTCCTGTGGGAAGAAGGGGAGAAGACCTAAATACAAGCCAACCAAAACATATGACCTTCAATACTGTCGGTCTAGTTTCAAATATAACCGTGTATATACAAGGACAGACTGACAAGAAGATCGATACGTTTTATTTGCAGACAGACAATATTTACAAAGACGTTGCAAGTTTTATTATTTCACATATTGTTTCATTTGTTTAAATAAACTTCAGTTTTTATGAAGACAAGGTCGGGTTGGATGGTGATGTATGTACATAAAAACATTGAAATTGCGTAAAAAATGAATTCTATATTAGCAAATAGCAAAAAAATATTTTTAGTGGAATAATATCACACTTGTCGAATTGTGCATGACAGCCGACTAATAAAGCAGATCCCAATAAAACGATAAAAGAAACTTTATCATAACAGTCTCTTAAAAGCAGCTGGTACTTTCATTAATTTATACTTCCATTAATAATCTTTTAACAATATTATTTTCTTTTTGTTGCAGCACGCCAACGCAGTACGTGATTCAGCTCGTTTGATCCTCGACTCTCCTCAGCCAGAATCAGAAGATGCCCTCACACTGGCCAGGGCACTCCGCACCCGACCTCCTGTCAATATGCTCCCCGCAGCCAAAGCCGGCACATTTTTCGCCAGAGACAACCTCTCCAACTTTATCGACTGGTGTCGCAAAGCCCTGGGTATCCTCGAATGCCTTCTTTTCGAAACTGATGACCTTTGCCTCAGAAAGAACGAAAAGCATGTCGTACTTTGTCTTCTAGAAGTTGCAAGAAAAGGAGCAGTGCTTGGCATGCCAGCTCCTTTGTTGGTGCAAATGGAGAGGCAGATAGAAAGAGAGTTGGCAGGAGAAGAGTTACGGCCTGATGATTCAGCCCTTGGACTGGTACCTTCAGGGCCTCAGCCGCAACTGGTGACTAATGATTTAAGAAGCTTAGACGAGAGGGTTAGAGACCTCGTGGAGAGGTGTTCCTGTCCCACTCAATTCCCGATGGTGAGAGTGTCCGAGGGAAAATACAGGATTGGTGACACGAGGTTGCTGATTTTCGTCAGGGTAAGTTTCATTTTCATAATTCTATTAGCTTTTAGTTCTCATCTTAGCCAATCTTAGCCCAAGTATCTAGTTTCTATAGCTTTCAGTAAGCATACTTAAAGAAATATACACCAACGAAGAACAGTAAAGATACAACGAATACCCAAACAAACAAAACCAATAAAGTAACAAAATGAAAAATAAAGAACGACAACTCCCAAGTGAGTCTGGTAGGGTTGAATCAATTAAGCTGTTCCCGATGTAGGTCTAAATGAGATTTCCTGTCTAGACACAACACCATTAAGGCACATGACTTGGGGAATTGTTTGACGTTTATTACGTTTTGTTTGTCAAGTGCTATAGCGATGTTCTTGTGCAAAACTAAAATATGAACAGAAGTGTTTTGCAAATACACTCTGGTACCGACGACGACGATTTAATCTGATTATTCTGAGATATTATTGAGAGGTTATAAAGAGACCTATTCTGAGAATCATTAAATTATTGTTGATGTAAACTTAAGTACCATTCGTGAGCCTAATCGTGATAAATATTTCGATTAAATAAACATTACTAATTTTACCACTGAAGATCAGAATGTTGTCAAAGCACAAAATGCTCTAAAGACCAAAATACTAAAAGCAACAGCACTAAGAATAATAATTCTGTCACAGAATGACGTTCTAAATGCAAATACCATAACTCAGTGGCCAAAGGACGCCTGCGCGTGCACTGATCTGTTGCAACAATATTACGAAACAGTCAACAATGCAACTCAAAGGATCCAACACGTTTGGTTAACCTGAATGAAGTAGCAAGGAGAGTGAGGCAGATAAATAAACATTGTGCTCCATATTCAGACGCAAGTGTACGTAAAGACAGATTTTCTGATGCTAATGTCGTTGGTGAAGAAAATGTCTTGGTAGAAACTATTAAAAAGATAAAAAGAGTAAGAAATTTAGACGGTATGATAGGGTTTCGTGGAAAAGTTTAAAAAAGCTCAGTCTTTATGGAATTTTTAAATCGTGAATTTTATAATGTTATTGATTTACCTTTGAGTCCCTCTTTATTTCTATTAATTTATTCAGATTATGGCTCTCCAAATTTCATATTTTTTTGGCTTCGTATTCAGCAATTTCAAACAGGATGAATATAGTTTTTTTTTTGACAAACTTCCGCGTTATGATAATAATAAGAGAATCGATGACAATACAAATATATGTAATTGTATGTCAACATGGCATCAAAACAAACATATTATATTTTCATTCAAATATCAAAACATTGCCAATGAGTCCGCACAAGTATCAAACACAAGCATTGCATTAATTTGCACTAAAAATAGACTCTCAAGCGCCTTTTAATGAAAAATAAAAACGATATTCACACAACCATTAGCGCCAAACAAGCTTCACTTTTAAGGTCACACTAATAGTGTTCCAATTCCTTTGGCGACGTATCTATGATTCATTCTATTCGATTCCTTGTTTGGTCAAATCGAATGGACGTCTCATTGTAGAAAACGACTTTCGACCTTATTGCTGCCATTGAAAACTGACTTCGCGTTTCAAATAATTTATATTAGGAGGCAGGTCAGTTTACACTGGATTATCTTTCAGATCCAAATTTAGTTAGACCTCGAATTAGGAACAAGTGTTTAGAAGGGAGGGGTCAGTTTGTATTGGATCTTATCTATCGATCCATATTAAGGGATGCAAGGCTAAGAACTAAATGAAGGCGGATCGAGGTCACCAGACTTGTATTGATTGGGACTATCAAGGCAGCATTCCCACGGTATCAGCGAATCTTTATTTGGAATTTCTAATAAACGAGTACTTGAAGGTTCAAGTTATGATGGTCATTTTGTCTGGGCCATGTGGTCTGATATAAAGTGGTCTACAACGGCTCCATGCTCTTTAAGTTCAAGCATGGGATCGGGTTCCAAATTGAATGCACTCTCTATTACTGTAGATCTATTAGTAGTGGCTACTTCAAAGTAAGAGCTGCCACACAGCGCGCTTTATTTATGAAGCAGTTGTTGAAATTGACCGCGAATTGGAACTAGGATATTGCAGTAAAGATTTGTTTTCATGTTAGTAAATGATAATGAGATCTTTTTGAAGTGTGTGAAATGAATCGCAACTATGTATAAGCTTTCTGACCGCAGATTTGAACTCGGCACTTCAATTTTTTGTCAGTTTAGTTTTGAGTTAAGGTGATATTATTTAACAACTATTTACTAAGGATAAATTGATAATCAAATTTATTTATTCCAATTTTGTATTTTTTTCCACAGATTCTCCGCTCCCACGTGATGGTTCGCGTCGGAGGTGGTTGGGATACCCTCGCCCACTATCTGGACAAGCACGACCCTTGCAGATGCCGTGCCCAGCACCGCACCTCCCTCTCAGCTCGTCTCGCCCGCCCCAAGCATGACCTGGCCGGCGCTACCGTCACCTACGAAAGACCAGACCCTGGCCCGACATCCCTGCCCTACACCAAAACTGAGCCAAAGAGTTACGAACCCATGTCTCTCCAATACAACTCCAAAATATACAACGAAGAACCGAAGTCTGGACACTATTTATCCAATCACAGACTCAGTGACGCTCCGACAAGCCTGCCTTATTTGGGAGACTTGGACAGAGCTGCTTCTCCAAGCAGGAGGCACTTGGCTCCAAGGGCAATCAGTCCTACAAGAAAATCATCCTCCCCGGATCGAAGGACCAAGATTGTGACTTCTAACCATTTAGTCCCTACTCCTCATGGGATTAGGAATAAGAGCCCTAGGCCAGTTTCTCCAGCTCCTGCAGCTGAGAGCGCTTCTGACAATGGATCTGAGGTGTCTGATGAAGGGTACAGGAGTCTGGGTGTGGTGGCCGGGTCTACACAAGGATCCCCTTCGACGAAGACTACGAACAGATATTCGTTGCATAGCCAGAACTCGATTGAAGACGCAGAGTTTAATGGTAAGTGTTATTTTACTATTTGAAGTGGTTTATTAGTATTTAGTTGTGTGCTAACATAATAGGATATCTCTTGAAAACAGGGTTATAAAATTATATACTTGAGTTTCATCGGGATCCTTACAGCAGCATTTGTGTGACGTGCACTCAAATTGACAATCCATGGTGTCTCTTAAAGTGACATAGGGTTCAAAATTGCTTGTTTGAAAAATTTAGCAACGTTATGAAAATATATACATATTTCAAATTCTAGGACGTACTAATATCAGTTTCAAGACCTAATTCAAATAGGAGCTTTGCACTGTAGTCTAGAATCTGGGACGAGCGCTAATATTACCTAGTTAGGTTTAATTAGTTATAAAGTGGATGTGACATTGATATAAATATTGATTGCCTTTATATTGGACCTGTGACTTCAAGTGATGGATCACTCTGTTATCGTCTATGTTAATCGTCATCATTATACTGAAAAATGGAATAGTTTACCGCATTCACATTACTTCATACTATACAACATAAAGATACTATACAACATATACTTCATACTATACAACATATTTGCAAATAAAGAATTCTATTCTATTCTATTCTATTCTATAAAACTAAGTCGTGTTGTTTGTTCCTATATCCTAGGTATGCTTAAATCTTTCAAACTACACAACGGTTTTTGATGCCATTTAATGGTGGACAAAGTTGCACCCATGCAAAGCCGGGACGGGTAGCTAGTTAATATACAATTTTCAATGTTAACATTATTTTTATTATGTATTAGTTCTACATTATATCAACTGAAAACTTTCTTCCAAAAAAACTGCAAGAAATTACATGAGCAGACATAATTGTGTAATACTCGTGTTGACAGACACTCTCCTCTGTATGTTATATGCTGTAGGTATGTATATGTTATATGCTGTATTTGCATAGCGTTGTGCAAGTTTCAGCAAGAGTCATTGTTTGTTATTGAAACATTACCGCCAACAGTAACTGACGTGCAACCTGAACGAATAATATGTGCACTTGTACCGCGGTACAAAGCAAAAGAGGTAGCGATTTTGGTAAATTTATTGTACCTATTTTTTATAATTTTTTTATCCTATTAAATAAAAAGTAGGTATGAAAAAACATTGGAATCTACACTTTGGAACGAGTAAATAGCTTCACTAAGGGGACTGACTTTTTGTCTTTAAATCTTTGTTTTAGGTTCAAAAGTGCCTTTATTTGGAAAAGTCTATTAGTTTATTATTAAAACAAACAACCTTTTTTAACACCTTATTATAGAATTATCCGTTAGTACTTAGTAAGTTTCAATGGTTACTGGTTCAAATTGCACATTTGGATAGGTTTAGGTATACACGAGAATGTGAATGAAACTGTACAGGTTTTTTTTTGTGAGGGAAAAATCATCAAATGACTTCTCCCACCCAGGGCGGCGGGCGGGAGGGAGTGTCAGACTCTTACTGACTAAAAACCTGTTTCTTCTCCTGCTCTGGGTCGAGGTCGCGGTGCCTCATTGCGCTTACCCCGCAACCCCGTTAAGTAGCGTACCTACTGAAAGTATCTAAAAGCATAAAAGTAACTAAAAACTAAAAAAAACTTCTTATCAGATTATTGAACCACAATATTTTAAAGTCGCCCAAGACTGAACCGTACAACAAAAAAATTGTAGTAACTAATAAATTAGACCACAATCGCTGCCTCCAATAATTTGCGACCATCCTGCAATTATTATCGCAACTGGTAGCAGCGTACCGTTAAATTGTAGTGTCCTCACTGAATGAACGGCTAAACTAGTAGTCAATTGATTTACTATATTTAGTGTACTACCGCCCTGGCTTTCCACGTATACAATACTTATATTTTTATACAAATAAACCTTCATCTTCAATCATTCTATCTATGTATTAAGAAAACCGCATCAATATCCGTTGCGTAGTTTTAAAGATTTAAGCGTACATAGGGATTTAGGGACAGAGAAATCGACTTTGTTATATACTATGTAGTGATGTTGAGGTAGTTGACATATCATTGTGGTCGTGGCTCCCTAGTATTAAGTAGGTATGTGCAGCTCCAGTCGCAGTCCATATATCACTTGTTGTATGTATATGGACCAACTACACACGTGTATTTATTAAGGTTGCGGATGTCTTTAGGCGGTGCCAATGGCTTACCATCAGGTGATATCTCTGTTTCTTTTGTTTGTTTGCGGTACTAGCACACACCCGCTAAACCAGAAGATTTGAAAGTACTAACTACTACTACTATAAAAATAACTACAAAAGAAGTTAGACCCAATCCTTACCCTCCCCCAATCCCTCCTCATTCCCAAAATCTCCAAATCCCTAATCCTCAAACCGTCGACAACACACTCGTAACTCCTCCGTCGTTGCGGGTGTCCATGGATGGCGCTGATTGCTTACTATCAGGTATTCAGATTGATCGTTTGCCGACCAATCACATAAAACAAAATGTACAATAGACATTAGTCCCACAGATGTGACCTGTGTTTACACATTCTTTATTATACCAGTCAGCTCTCAAATATGGCGAACGTCCACATACTTGGAGTACAGTCATCATTATGAGTACTTGGCCAATTAGAAAAACAATTTAACTACTAACTAAAAATCTTAACTTATTGGCTTCGAGTGAACAATGATACATCGAATCTAAATTCATTAAGGCCTGTTTTTACCCGACTGCCAAAGAAGGAGGGTAATGTTTTTCGAGTGTATGTAAGTATGTATGTATGTCTTTTCCTTTGTGACCTCCTGTAGCCTAAACGGCTTGATGGATTTTGATGTATGAGGTATCGTTAGATTTGTCTTGATTACGGGAGTGTCATAGGATACATTTTATCCTAAAAGTCCCACGGGATAAAGACATAATAATATTTTTTCTAAATTTCCCTTTAAAAAAATATGTATGCGGTATCATTAGATTCATTTCAATCACGGGAGTAATTAATATAGGATACGTTTTTTCTCAAAATTCCCACGGGACCATGTTAATTCTGCGTCAACGCAAAGCAACTCATGCGTTAGCAAGCAAAAAGATAGGGCGTGGCCTGGCATGCGGCGCGCGGCGCGGTGCGGAGGGGGATATGCTCGAGTATACAGCCCGAATGCGGGCACACGCTTATGCGTGTGCCACCGCCGGCGGGGACCACCTTGACCGCCACCAACGAAAATTCTGCTAAATGGTGCACAACAGAAATGACTATAAATAAGCCTCTGTTGGTCCCCGCCTGCGATGCTTTCCATCAACATTTATAAATTATATTCAGTAAATTTGTATTGTGGGGCTTGTTTTACTCTTTTTTTAGTGTGCAGTCGGGTATTTTGTTTTTTTAATAATAATTTTTTTTTCAATGGTAGGATACAAGTTAGCTGGGGATTAATAATGATGCTGTCGCGTCAGAATGTTTGTATACGACAGTGACAGCAACAATTTTATTCCTCAAATAACATTTCTGATTATTGAAAAATTTGCCCTAAAATAATGACTTACTCTACTGAAGTAACTGGAAAAAACTCGACTAAATTCAAGTCACAGGGGTCCCGACCCTTATTCATGAGCATACTACATAGATAAATTCCATAAACTAAGTACGTATGTCTCATGATAGATATTATACCACTCTAAAACATCTGCCATTTAAAAACTAAAGAAGATTTGTTTTTGTTTTCTAAATAAAAACACAAGTAAGTTAATAAAACATTATTTTTTATTGTATAAGTTGGCAAACGGGCTTACGGATTACCTGATGGTAAGCAATCAGTTCTGCCCATGGACACCCGCAACAATGAAAAAGATACGAGTGCGTTGTCGATCTTTAAGGGATTAAGATTTTGGGGATATATGGATTGGGGAAGGGGAAGGATTGGGCCTCCAACATAACATAATGCTGTGCATGTTTCACGCCAGTTTTCTGTAAGTCCATGGTATCACTTCGGTCGAGGTATCCATTCGTGCCGAAGCATGGCTCTTCCATACTTAAATCAAAACATCTAGAATTTAAAATAAAACAAAATACAGTCTTTGTGAACCACTTCCTATAGGTTATTGTTAATTATCATTTATTTATTAGACGAATTTAAGAAAGCCAAGTTTTGGTCTCATTGTACACAAAATTCAATTTAAGTATAGAATGGCTAAGGACTAGTTTCGACTGTACATACATAAACACATTACAGCGCAACACTAGTGACATTCACACATACAAGATAGATATTGTATATAAGTCACATTCCATCGGTTGTCGGTTTATTATTGCTAATGATATCATAGATAAAAGACATTCTTTTCATTTATTTTATAAATAGTATTGCTATGAGCAATTGATCATTATGTATAGGTACCGTAGAATCTATATATGAAACTGATTTAAAAAGAGTAACCATGGAGTTTCTTGCTCGTTCTTCTCCATATGAATCTACACTTTGGAACGAGCAGATAGATTTACTAAGGGGACTGACCGACAGACTGATACGTTTTGTCTTGAAGATTTGTATGACATTCAAAAGTGCCTGTAATTGATTAAAATAATTTTGACCTTTGATCCTTGTAGAATTTAGTTATACTTACATCTTTTGTATGGTGTGAGTGAGATATTCGGAGGCTTAGTCCTGTAGACCTACAAATTCGAATCCTAATCCCCAAAAAGGCCGGAACGCAGTCGTAACTCCTCTGGTGTTATAAGTGGCGGCGTTGATTGCTTACCATGAGGTAATGCGGTATCTTTTAAGTGTGGGAGAGCCAGGCTTCGGGACGAATGGGTCGGCTCGACCGGAGTGATACCACGGCCTCACAGGAAACCGGCGTGAAACAACCACAGCGTTGTGTTTCGCTCCGTGAGTGAGGTTACCGGAAGCCCAATCCTTCCCCTCCTCCAATCCCTAAATCTCCAAATCCCTAATCCCTAAAAGGTCGGCAACGCACTCGTAACTTCTCCGTTGCGAGTGTCCATGGGCGGCGCTGATTGCTTACCATTAGGTAATCCGTCT